ATAGAGCATTCTCAGGAATTCAACCTCTTCTTTCAGGCTTTCCACCTTGGCCTCCAGCTCCGCTTTGTTTAAGAAAAAACAGTCCGCGTCCTGGAGACGCGTTGGGGATAGAAGAAGGAAGTTTGTTAGCGAGAGCAGACTCAGGGCTACCCTTGGGGTGAGGGACTTCCAGTGCTGGTACCATGACCGTGTGCCAGCTCCCAATTACACAGTTGCTGCTGATTTGAGTTCAAGAAAACCCAAGCACCAGCTCCTGCTTGTACTTGTTTTGTGTGCTGCTTTTGGGAAATAAATCACCGCGTGCACCCCAACGACCTGAACCCGGAGAGGAGAGTTCAAACAGCCCCTTGCTCACCTTCTTCAGGGCAATAAACTCACTCTCGGTGCACGTCTGCTGGCTGCATTCGTCCTTGAGCCTGCGTGGGAAAGTGGGAGATTTTGTTTGAGTTCAGCGCAATTACATCTTTGTTTGGGTTTCTGCAGGCCTTCTTTCAAGAAGTGAAACTCCTGATTTTTTTCCTTCTCCCCAAACAATGTTTTGGGATGCTTTGGTCTTGTTTCGTAGCCCATGGGAAAGGAAACGTGTTTTCAGAGAGGTTTCTGCGTCTTTACAAATTTGCAGCAGAACTGTTTTCATTTGAGCTCTGCAACAGCAAATAGCTGCTGAACATTTCTAAATGTTAATTCCTTGAATTAGGAAGGAGAGGAAGAGAAGCTGGAAGAGGGACATCTTCTGTTTCCTCCATCTCTCTGTAAATTGGGACCTTATTTTATATACTGAGATCCTGGTAGATCTCTCCATCTACCTACTAGTTCTCTGGGAACCAGTTACTACCATGAAAAGTTCACGGTCTCTGCCTGTTGACAAATCTCGAACAACATTTTGAGCCCTGGACTCACATATCTCTGTTTTTTACTTACATTTTCTTGTTGGTTTCCAAAACCTGCTGTGCTGCTTTCAGGTCTGTTTCTAACTGGGCTCTGTTGCACCCCAGTGCTTCCAGCTGCTTCTTCAAGTTACCAATATAAGCCTCTAACATGGGCATGATGGTATTCTTGCAGTGTTTTTGACCCTGCAGAAAGCTCCATTTGGTCTCCAGCACCTTGTTCTGCTGTTCCAGGAATCGAACCTGAATCCCAGAAAGCAAAATAGGAAACAAGATGAGGATTAAGGGTTTGTGAGAGCCAGGGTCCATGCAACAGCAGTGAAAAGTGTGTTCCTCCTCTTGGTACATGTGAATGCAGCGTTTCCTAATCCAGTGTGCTTTTGTGCATAGGCTGTTTCTGGGCCACCCATGTGGAAATGCACAAAAATCTAAGCACTTCTAGAAAGGAGAGATTTGCAACAAATTGGGGATGTGCAGAGAGGAATGGGAAGGAACTGGAAGGCTAATGAAACTGGTTTCAGCTTGTTCCCTCCCTGCAGTCAGGCCTAGAGATCAGATTAATAGTGCCTGTACGCTGAAGCTTCCCCAGTGGCTCATAAACACCTTGGTGCTCAGCTGGCACCCTTATGCAAGTTGCCCTCAATGTCTAAAATGAGTTGTCTTACAAGGATTTCATGCCCTTTCCATGCTAGACATCTCACTTGGACTCTAGTGCCTGCGAATTGGAGCTGAGGAGGGGTTCCCAGCTCACCTTGTCAATGAAAGAAGCAAATTTGTTGTTGAGGCTCTTGATCTGCTCCTTCTCTTGGTACTTCACCGTTTGCACGTTGGGATCAAGTTCCAGTCTGAGCGGTTGGAGCAGTTGCTCGTTGATGGTGATGGGTGTGATGGTGCATGGCCTGGAGACTCCACGAACCCTGTAGCCAAAGCCAGCACCTCTGTAGCCAAACCCTGTACCAGCTGCACCAAAGCCATATCCACGTCTGGGAGGAGGACATCTTCCAACAGCTATTCTGGGCTTGGGGAATGCCACACCACCAAGACTTCTGCTGCTGAAGTAACCCAAACCACAGTAGCCCACGCCACCACCCCAGTGACACAAGGCAATGCTGAAACTACATCGATTCCTGGGAAGAGCTGCAGAGGAAGGGCTGAAATTCCTGATGGCATGTCCAGAGCTGGTGCTGTAGGAGCAGCAGGACATGGTTGCTGGTGGGAGAGGGACTGGTGCAGGCGACGTGCTGGGAGAAGATTCCAGGGTGCAGTTCCCTCTGACCACAGTGGAGCACCTTCTTCCTTTTATTTGCGTGGAAAATGGGGCGAGGCTGAATGAAACTTCCACAAAATGTTTATGATGCAAAGAATGTGAACTACTTAGCATATATTGTGCTTACCAGCAGAGAAAGCAGCAGCATATTTGCCCCATTTACCAGCAGAGAAAGCAGCAGCATATTTGCCCCATAAAGATTTGAAGAATGCTGTTAAGTCAGAGGAGTCGTATTTAGATCTTACGTAATAGCAGCAAAAATTAGAGGAGTTGTGCTGGGTGAGTTGTTTTCAGGAGACATGGAAAAAATTGCACGTTCCCCTTTTTATAGGTTGGATGAAGTGGAACTGAGCCTTTGAAAATGTAAGATGCTTTTCTGTCAAAGGAGATCTTCGTGTTTTGCTGGTACCTCACTTTGCAAAGAAGAGCTTTGAAGGAGAATGTGATTCAACCTGCTCTTTAATAAAACCTATCAATAATAAATGTGAATTTACTGAGGATTAATGAACAAAGTCTTGCAGGCAGGTCAGTGGTAAATGACCATGTTTTGTTGGTTCTGCCTATAAAAAGGCAATGTGTTTTAATGCCAGGGAAACATCTGTGGGGCCAAATCTATTTCTCAAGGTGATTTTTCTGCAGGTTGCTGATATGAGTGTTTTCCAACATGGTAATTTATTTGGGGGGAATTGCTGATTAGTTGAAGTTGAAACCAACGCTTGGAACATGGTAGCTTTTGCAGACATTCTTATTAGCCAAATCCTCAGAAAACTGACGTCTCCTCATCCCTCAGCTTGAAGGTTGGGTTCCTACCTGGCTTGGGGCAGGGCCAGGCTTGGTCCTTCGCCTCCTACATTGGGCAAGTGCCCTCATTGCAGCGTCAGGGCTCGGACTCTTCCTTGCTTTGCTGTTCACACGCGTGTGCGTCCAAGTCCTTGGAAGGACAGGGATAGCGTCGGTGCCTGCGTCGCTGTGTGGGAGAGCGGCGTGTTTTGTAGGGGCAGGGTGGAAGTTTCAAACTAATGATTTTGTTTTGTTTACTGCATTTCTTTCCCCGTCCCTATTCAGTGGTTGGTTTCAATTGCAAGCCAAAATTACCAGCTTTGCTATAGGGATCTGGGAGCTCTTGGATGCTTCGGCTCCAGGGCTCACAGACATCCTTAGGGGGGTGGGGCATGAGATCTAGAGTTAATCTTGTGATTGTCCTCAATCCTCATGTGTCAGACCGTGTTGCTCCAGACTGAAGTTGTATTTTATGGCTCTGCGGCAGCATCTCTTCTCTCCACGTTGTCATCCTAGGAAACGCTTTCTGCTTTTGGTGAGACAACTGACACCAAATGCAACCGTACGGTGCTTTTGGACAGAAATCTGAGGAGAGGGGTTGCAGGAGGCTGGGCTTGCAGGGCGCCTGACCCGAAAGGAGAGAGGGACACTGGATAAAGCTGCAGGTTCTCCAATGCAACAGGGAAAGGCAGTTGGATATGTTGTTGAACTGACTCCAAAAAACCCCAAAATGTTTTGAGCTAGCTCCATTAAGCCAAATAGTTCAAATCGGGTTGAGCATGTTGGGAGTGAGACATTATGGTGCTACATTTTTTTTAATGGAAACATCTCAATTTTAAAAAAAAAAAAAAAAAGGTTTTGTTTCAGAAAAACTTTTTGGTGGGAGAATTCCTCATCTTCCAGCCTACCACAGGCTTCAGAGCAGGAAAATATCCCCTGGTTTTGTTGCTGTTCTCGTGATCTCTCGCGTCCCAGCTGCATTCACACAGTCTGGCTGTAGCCACTTTAAGCAGGTCTGTCGTACCACAGTGATTTCCAGCTCCCAGGGAGTTTCCCCCCCTCTTTCATCCTGGTTTTAGGGGATTAGGTCCAGGGGTATGATGTTCACTGAGTGATGGACACAGGAGGAGTGTGGTGGGTGAGATGTGCTGTGACGTGATCTCCTCGCCCCTCTCCCTGTTCCCGTGGACCAGCTCTGCACCCCACATTTTCCAAAAGCAGCGGATCTCTTGGGGACTGTAATGAGAGATGGCCTCAGCCTTGAGTTGAGTTTGGGTTTGTTTTTTTTCCAATTGTCTCGTTAATGTGTGTTTTGTAACTCTGAAAAAAGGAGCTATGTCATGTGATCTCAGATTTGCTGTGTCAGTTTATTGGGGAGAAACAGCAAAAAAACAAGATAAAGGCACACAACAAGCGTCATAGAGGAATTGGATGTTCTGGGTAAGACTCCTCTGCTCCCTTTGATTTTTAACTTTTCTTTGCAATCACGTCCATACACTGGAGGAGCAGAAACTTGTATCACTTAGTGTTTTTAACCCAGATAAGTGGTTCCTTAATACATACACTGTGCTAACTGTGCACTGCCTAGTCAAACTAGCATTGCTGCCCAGGCTTTGCTAGGCCTACACAACCCAGGAGGAACAGACGAACTTTGGGAAGAGGCTATTTGTAAAACTACAGCATAAGGTAATGAAAAGAGCAAGTTTCATAACAGTGGTGAATGTTGCAGGGAATAAGCAACGTGGACTGGACTGAAAGCTTTCAAATCCCCCACGTGTCTTCTGTGTGTGCTGCTAGCAGGCTGCTGCTGCTATGAACTGGTGGAGTGAGGACGCTGCTTTCAATGCTTGTTGGTTTTTTTTAGTATTTTGACCTGTAGGAGGTTGTAGAGGACACTGGAGCTCTTCCCGCTCACAACACTGTATCCTCCCGTGGTGGTACAAGGAGCACAGATGTCTCCAGAGCCCGTGATGATGCATTTGCCACAGACACCTCCTCCAGTCACTAGACCTCTGCTTCTGAAGAGGGATCTGCTGCTGGAAGAGAAGCTGCCATGAAAGTGTGGGTCAGTACTGCATGTGATTCTTCCTGGGGATCGGCACATAACTGCAAAGAAAACATTTTAGCTCAGGATTTCCAGAGCAGATCCTGTGGGACTGGTAAGAATAGGGATTTGCCTGGTACTTAAAAATATTCACAGGGCAGCCACTGTCTATGCACAACCTTAAGGGGATGGGAAGAATGGAAATGTGTAAAAACCAAGGTCTGTATTTAATATGTGTCCCTATAACTGGCCAATAATTGGGAGGTTTGGGGATGTGGGAAGCTGCCAGCAGGCCAGGCAGGTGCTTTGGACGTACCGTGACTCGACTGCTCAGCTCGTGCCTGTGAGGAAGTTTTCCTGAGTCCAGTGTCATGCCCAAGCAGGGAAAAGGTTTTGCTTTGGCTCTGTGTGTGTAAGTGTGAGCAAGTCCTGGCCAAGTGCTTTCCCTGTGTCCCCTCAATTAGCCCACATGTGAATAGGTAGCCGGTCATTTCGGCTGGGGTGGCAAAGGTGGCCACGCACGACTGTGACTGAGCCTTTGGCTTTATAAGACCTGAGGCTACACAAGACATCATCTTTATTCATGCAAGGTCTTCCATTTTGGGGGGAAAACCTAAGCTTCTGAGTGCATTAGGGGCTTTTGACTTTGTAAGGCATTTGGGTCCATAAATGCTGGAAAGTGCTTTGGAAAGTGTCACCCCCTAGGACTTTGGGTCTCAGTGGGATTTGCTGCAATTACAGAGGTGATGGCTCATCAGACAGTCTGTGAAAGGTGGTTGTGGGGTTAGGTGTTCTACCATTTCTTCCTTGCAGGGTTGTACAAGCACCCACCTGCTTTCCTCTCCATCCAGCAGCTTCCTGTAAGTTGTGATCTCGACGTCCAGGGCCAGCTTGACGTTCATGAGCTCCTGGTACTCGCAGGCCATGTCCTGCTTTGTCTTACCCAGCTCGGAGAGTTTGCACTTTGCATCTCTGATAACCACTTCCCTGTGCTCCTTGGCTTCAGCAATGGCTCCTTCTGGTTTGCATCTGTGCAGGTAGGAGATTTTCATTACTGCCACTTACTTGTGTGTGCTTTGAATAGTTCAGAGTTGTTGAATCTGCCTGTCTGTGTATTCATGCACCTGCACTTTGTTACATTTTCAGATTCTATAGATAAACCTTTAAATCTAGGATGATTCTCTCTGCCTAGCTGAGACTTCTGTGTATGTGTTGTCTTCTCATTGCGGGTCTCTACTGATGGTAATGCAGTTATTAGTTGTAATAGACCATTTTACTCTGTACTCTGGATTACCAGCAAGTCTTAGAGTTGAGCAGCTGACATTTCACCAAAACTGGCTTTATTGCTCCCTTGCTTTAGCAAAGGAGTTTTGGAAAGCCACAACCTGGGAATGGCGATTGACACATTATTGCCCCTGAGTCATCCTTACCTGGGCTTTGCTGTTTTCACATTCTCCAGTTTAGTCTCTGAATCACCCGATTCAGCGCCACAATTTCATTCTTTGTATTACGCAAGCTGTCATCGTGTTTGCCAGTGGTTTCTCTCAGTTCCTCATACTGAGGAGAGAGAAAATGCGATTAAAATAAATACCAGAGTGAGGAGATGAGTCAGTAATTAAACCTACTGTGTGATTCTGGGTCCGCAGTCCCAGATCTTGAGCTTTAAGGCAAAAACCTTTGTCACTGGGGGACACAAATGACTCATTTATACAGTAGCAGCTCTGTGTGTGAAGGCATTAACAGAGGATGTATCACACATAGGGAAAACACAGCAAGTGGCTGAGAAAACAGACCTTTAAAAAGCCTGTGCAACCCAAATTAGGAAATCTGAAGAAGCAGGGCCCTTAGCAGAAAGTGGGGCATAAATACTTTTGTGAGTGTTGTCATGACTCACCTTGCTGTAGTACCATTTTTCTGCATCAGCCCAGCTTTTTTTGGCAATGTTGTCACATGGAGCTTTGACATCAGTGATGATGTCATCCATGTCCAGGCCTCAGCTGTTGTCTGCACAATAACAGAGGTGCCTGAAATGGGTGCTTGGAGCTGAGTGATTTCGTAGGGGCGACAGCAAGATTATCAGTCATCTGCACCAGAGGTGCTTTCCCTGCAGATCTCCCTGGTGTGGAGACAAGGAGATGCAGTGTGCTCCACGTACCACGACTTCAGGCTCACTGCAGAAAACCCAAAGAGGGATTTTCTGGTTTAATCTCTCTGGATCCTACCTTCACCATCAACTTGAAACAGATTCCTTAGCATCTCGCCCATGTAGTGCAAGAGTAACACCTTTGAAATCCAGAGCAATCAACTGATGTACACATGAAACACCAAAAATCTTCATGAACTTAAGCGATGGGTTGTGGGAGCCTGACTCCACAGGCCCCCTAAAGAGGCACGGGGTGAAGGAAAAGGGAGCAGAAAAGGAAGAGGCATTACCACTTCATACAGGCTCCTCAGGCAGTTGATCTCTTGGATGAGGGACCCCACCTTGGCTTTCAGCTCAGCTTTGTTCACATAGGCGCAATTTGCGTCCTGAAGCGCATCAAGGGTTTATGAAATGAAAGAGCAAACTGCTTAATACTAGTAAGTGATGAGATTACAAACTGTTAGGGCTGCTCTTTTCAAGGACATGAATTTTACCATGCTATTAAATTGTTTCGTTCTCTTATCCTCTTAGGCAGAAGACAAAAAATCTCTAGACACTGAGAAGAGAAGGAAAGGTATTGACCAGTTGGGGTATACAAACATCCCAAATGAACAAGCTCAGCTAAAACAGACTCACTTAAGGTGGGATTCAACTCTTTTAACGAAATCTTCCCAAAAGCTGGCCTTTAGGTCCCTCTGGAGTCTCTGGAGAGTGAGAGGCAGTCTCACCCTCTCTTTCCAGCAATATTGGCTGCTGTTCATATTAAAAGCCCAGAATTAAGTGTTTGAGTTGGTTTGAAAAGCTCTTACCTTTTTGAGCATAACAAACTCATTCTCTGCGCATGTTTGCCAGTGAGTTTCCTCTCCACACCTGCAAGAAGAAAAAAGATCACTTTGCTCCTCATTATTCAGCTTAAGCAAGAATATGAATCTAATCTTCCTCTACCACCTCCAAATGCTCAACCTCAGCATGGAAACCAACTGCTGATGCAAGCCATACACATGTACACCTGGAAGAGATCTTGCATCTTGTGCAGCCTTTGCCATCCAAAAATTAGATGAGATCAGTTCTAGCCCTAGTTTTGGAGCTTGTATCTTTTTTAAACTTCCTTTTCTTGTAATCTTCCATGATACCCTGCATGGTGCTCAGTTCTGTTTCTGAACTTCCTTTTCTTGTAATCTTCCGTGATACCCTGCATGGTGCTCAGTTCTGTTTCCAGCTTGGCTCTGTCGCTTCCCAGAACGTGCAGCTGCCTCTTCAAGTTGCCAATATAAGTTTCAAACATTGGCTCGATATTGCTCCTGTAACACTTTTGTTCCTGTAGAAATCCCCATGTAGTCTCCGGCACGTTGTTCTCGTGCTCCAGGAACTGGACTTGAAACCCAGAAGTAAAGCATTCAAAGTATAGTGATTTGTTATACTGGTGACGCAGAAGTGAATAATTACAGTCCCAGAATTGGCAAATTGAGACAGAAAATCTGTGAGTTATTCAGGATAGTACCAGGTGAATGGAGAAGGCATGCATTTAAAATCTGTCGAACAGCATCTTCTCATAAGAAGGTTCTTCAGAAAAATGTCTTTGTTGTTATTATGCAAAAAGCACCAAGTTAGAGACTCAGCACCATAGTAGAGTGGGGTAAGTCAGAGGTGATTCTACTGAAATCAGGGTTCAAGTGATATAAAACTGGGGCATTAGAGAATCAGCTTCTCTGCATGTAACAGCAAAGCTTGATTGTCATTTGCAATGAGACTGCTTTACACCACTCTTGGAGCATGAAAATACCTTCTTGCCCCCACTGAAGCCCCCTTTTTACGCTCAGGTGGTGCAAAACGTCCTCCTCGTAAAACCCAAACAGGTCCTTACTGCAAAGTCAGGCTGCGAGTTTTGGCTGCTGTTGCTATTAAGTAGTTTGGCAAATGCATTCCTTGTCTCGGATGTGCCATACGGCAGCTTGTTACAGCTCTGCAGCTCCGGTGCCTGTTGAGCTGGGCATCTCTTCTCTTGCCTTGCCAATGAAAAATGCAAATTTGTTATTGAGGGTCTTGATCTGCTCCTTTTCCTGGTGCTTCACAAACTGAAGGTTTGAGTCCATCTCCAGCTTGAGCGGCCGGAGCAGATGCTCATTGACTGTGACCTTGACAATGGGTGTGCAGACCCATGATCCTGCAGCCAAAGCCATCACCTCCATAGCCCAACCCCATGCTTGAGGGGCTGTAGCCATATCGCAGCAGGTGACAGCCACTGATTGCTAGCTTGGGCTTGCAGCCTGCATTGCCACCGAGGCTTCTGCTGCCGAAGCATCCCAGCCTGGGGTACCCTGCACCACCACCTCCCCGACACGAGACGGTGCTGACGGTAGATCTCTTCACACGTCTCAGGATCACAGCAGAGCAAGAGCTGAAACTCCTCATGCCCCCAGCTCTGGAGCAGACATGTAGGATTGGCAAGATGTTGATACCAGCTCGAAGGGGAATGAAGGCAGAAGGAGAATCTGAACGCAGGAGCAGGAGCCAATGCGCGCAAGTTGACCCAGCCAGAAACCCTCTGCAATGAGAAGCAGAGCTTTCACCTTCTTATGTCCCAGGAAAACAGGCTTTGGCTGCACGACCAGCCCCAAAAGACCATTTTTAAAGATGTTTATGAGCTTAGGTTGTTTGGTAATATCCCACTCATCTCTTTTGCTGAATAGTGACCTGAGCCGCTTTTAAGCGCACACCTATCATTCTGCTATAGGCTGTGTTTCTAATTTGAATTGGGGGGAATCCCTGGTCCCATAAAAACTGCATTTGCAAACCTTCCTTTCTTTATGGTAAGCATGAAAGAAAGAAGCAGAACCAATCCTTTGATGTTTGCAGGGAGCGAGGGAGGGAGCATTGCTTTGTTTTACATGTGGGAAAAGAAGAATCTGAGTTAAACTCTCGGGAATATTCTAGGGATCCAAACACTGGGGCTGATTTGGTTTGGTGTTACATTAGCTTTTAGCTAGAGTTGCTCCTTTTGTAAACCTAATTCTATAATTTACTCCTTTCTTTCTTTTGTTTGACCTCTGTAATTTTGTTAGCCTCAAGAGAACAATCTTTTAATTCTCTCGGGACAGGAGATGGACCCGTGCAAACGTCTTTCGTGGTGCTAGGGCTCTGCTGGTCTGTGACTCCAAGCAGAAAACGGCTGCAGCAAAGAGGGGTGAGAGCAGGAGGAAGCAGTGAAAAATTTTCCAGCTCAGACCTTTGCACTAGCTGGGGAAATCCAAAGCCAAAGGTTGAATAGATCGAGGTGATGGTGGAGTGAGTGCACTGCAAAGAGAAATTCAGCCTGATTTGCTGCTCTGTCTCTCAAGCTACCCGTGTGCTTCTCTCCTCCACTGAATGCCCTGAGGGGGAGTCTGTTGTTTTCCCTAGTTTTGGGGGGAATGTGACTGACACTGGTCAGATAGATTGACACCTCTCATCTTATTGCTTACAGAAGTGTCCTCTATAGGGAATAGCTTACAGGAGAACTGGGCTTGGTCATTCCTTTCTGGCAAAACTGTTTGGCAAACCCCTGTGTATGTAAGTTTGGACTGTATATATATATTTATTTTTCAGCAAAGGAGATGGGTTCAGAGTGACAAAGATGCAGGAAAGGCACGTAAGTCTTTCCTACAAAATGAAATAGGTGATTTTCAGTCCCATCTTTGCTGAAATACCAAAACGGCTGTGTGCCATGGGTGGGAACCCTCTTAATTCTTTTGCCTCCAGTGGGATAACACTGAGGGCTTAGCCCTGAAAATCTCAGCCTTTTCTAAAGGTGCATTTGCTTTTGTGTGATTTTCTTGGCATTCACCATGGCCTGAGAACATGTTCTGCTCCATGAAGAGGATCAGAGAGAAGTTCATGCATGCAAGCCTGAAAGCTAGCCTGCCTCATTTAGCCACGCAACATTTTAGGGTAAAGCTGTGTGGGAGTTGTATGTGCTAAGTACTTCTTGGGACTCAGCCTAAAAGGAGTTCAGAGAGCTCAGCATCTTTCATGATTGGGCCCTGGATGCTGGAGAACAGCTGCTACATGTGATAGTTGGCATCTTCTGTGAAATGGAAGAAGTCATGTTGGCTTCTTTTCTCACTTTCTCTCTCTTGGGTTTTTAATTACAGACCTGAGCAGAGCTCAGTACCGCCAGCTTGTCTGAGCCAGCCCGGCTTCGATCTGCTGATTCAACAGAAACCTCAGCTCAGGAGCATCACACTGCCCAGGGATTGCACCCTTGTTTAGCACTTGGCCTGACTTTGTTGGCTGCTCCAGAGAGGGGATGGAGATAAATCCCTCCTGTTTTCCAGGTCTGGAACCAGCCTTTCCGGAAGTTTAGCTGTGATGCGTGGGATCCATCTTTCCTGACTTTAAAACACCTTTTGGAGTGCTCCTGCAATGCAGACAGCTTCAGCCAACTGCCTAGAGCACTTCTGGTTCCACGGAGGGAGAGAGGTGTTACTGGGGAACGAATTGTTTGACCCAAAAGTGTCTGTTTCTGTTCTTTGACTGGCTCGGATGTAGGTGTTTATGGCCTTCTGGTCTTGCTCTGCTGGCTGTGCAACTTGGAAAACCTCCCAAAGTGCTTGGGTATTGCTGCTCTGTGACGCCTGTCTCCAATACACTTAATGTTCCCCCATCCTCTCCAGGACTGAGATGCGGAGGAGGAGGATATGGGAAGGCTCTGAGTGACAGCAAGTGCCTATGGCAAGTCTTCTAAACCTTATTTGAAAATTACACTTTTAGGTGAATTTTGTAATGGCACAGAAAACCCACGTTGCTCATGATAAGTTTGACTGCAGTTTATTGAAGAAATTTCATAAAACTCATACAGTTCGACAAGAGCAGAAGATGGGAGGAAACGAGCTAGTTACATTTTGGCACATAATTCTCCAACCCTCCTCTTTGCCTTCCTCCCCCTTCCATTAAAAGAGAAGAAAAAAAAAAACAAACCCAAGCTAAGAACAAAGGCACTAAAACAGAGATGTTTTTCCAGGTTATGTAAAATCTATGTTACCAAAGCCTGCTGTTCCTCATTTTTGTTTTTCCTGTATTTTTAACACCTGTCTCTACTTTCAGCTCACTCTGGCTGGCGGAAAGGAGAATAGTTTGCTGCTGAAACAAGGTCTAGCAACCTGTAGGTTATGGGATCTTTTGGCTTAAATTATACGTACTGGGTGGAGGGATTAAACATTATAGAGAGCCAACCCCTTTCACTTATGGAAAATGAAGGCTGCATTTTTGGATGTAGGTAGAGCTAGAGGGCCCTGGGGTGAAACGACAGCAATGCAAGATGAATTGCGAAACAGAGCAACTGCCTCTATATTGAAAGACACTTCATTTTCAATTCTTCAAGCCTTTGGGGAGAGCGAGTCCAGCAGGGGGGAGCAGGGTTGGTTAGGAGGGAGCACAAGAGACTGTGGTCTCAACATACCTCCTGCTTTCTGTCGTAAGTGGGTGAAGGGACACGGTCTCCTTTCATGTACACTGGTATAAATCCAAGTCCTGCATCTACTCTGGATTTGCACCAGGGCACTGGAGCAAAAGGGAGCCCTGGGAAGCTGCAGGCTGAGCTCTAACGCTAGCACCCGTTAATGGGAAGGCTGATTACTCATTGACAAGCAGCGCTGGGCTTCTGGTCAGCTGGGTGAGGCTTTATGCAGAGGAATTAATTGGACTTGGAGAGGCATTTCTCCCAAGCCAATAAGTAGCTCTGGGAATATGTTTTCCCCTAATGGGAAAGTGATAAGCGTGGCTCTTTGGATGGTGTTAATAGGCGTTGTGCTGGCAGCAGGAGGTGGTGCTCAACCTGTTCTGCTCCAGATGAGCTGGGTGCCACCACGACTTAGCTCCGATAGCTCTTCTTGGTGGTGCTTTTCGATACAAACCTCATGCTTGAGCTGCTTCCCACACCAGAGCTGAATCCCCTGGCCAGGCAGCTCCCACTGCTGGAGCTGGCACCGCTTCCCCCCATGCTGAGCCTGTTGCTGAAGCCTGACCCCAGCCCCAGCGTGTTCCCACCTCCGTAGCTGCTCCCAGATGAGACCACGGCTGTGATGGGAAACCATGGGCAGAGGGTTAGTTTGTTTGCAATAGTACGGAGGAATTTCAACCTTTAGTTTCACACATTTGTGGTTTTTCTTGGACAGTCTACCACTGCCTGTATTCCACAGGTTCTCTGGCTTTTCTTCCTATCCTGTAGCAGAGCTGGCCTTGGACATCTAAGTCTCCTAGGGACAGTCTCAATGTACAAAACGTTTCAAGTTCAGAGCTGGTCAGAGAAAAGATTTATCAGCCTCCCCAGTCCCACAGAGCTCTGCAAAACCCTACGTATACTCCATTTTTGTGCTGGTAACTACTAGCTGCACAATTCATTTTCATTGTCTTATCCTCAGTTTAAGGATAAGACATTTAAGGAATAACTGAATGAATACTCAATCTATTGCTTAAGAGCCAGATTACTTACAAATATTCACCGCACCAACGCCTTCTCCAGCCAGCCTGGAAGAAAGAGAGGACAGAGAAGGAAGGGCTTGTTATTTAGGACAATTTCAAGCAACAGTTTGGCTCCAGGGGCATTGGTTAACAGAATGGTCTGGGGCGTTAAGGTCTGATGATGAGTGTCTGACAGGAATTGAAATGACACCTGTAACTGTGTAGGACGGGGTTGTTTTCTCTGCAAGTTTTTGTGGCCCTTCCCTCTCTTGTTGCAAGGCAAATGTGAAAGTATCTATGGGTTTGGACATTATTTGGTTTGCAGGGGAAGCCACTGACCTGCTCTCCTCGCCCTCCAACAGCTTCCTGTAGGTCGCAATCTCGATGTCCAGGGCCAGCTTGACATTCATGAGCTCCTGGTACTCACGGAGCTGCCGGGCCAGGTCTGCCTTGGCTTTCTGCAGAGCATCTTCCAGGCCAGCCAGTTTTGCCCTGGCATCCTTGACGGCCATCTCCCCGCGCTGCTCAGCATCTGCGATGGCCGTCTGCAAACTGGAGCACTGCAAGAAGTGGAGATAGGTCTGGTGACTGCTCAGTGGGTTTGGATCCCGATTTCCAGGCATCCTTGCAAGGGTACAGCAAGGTAGTGGAGATGGAGGTGCCCCCATGTTTGGAGGGGTCCTGTGCGCCATACCTGTTTCTTTATACTATCAATTTCCGAGTGGAGCCGCTGGATCATGTGGTTCATCTC